TTTACAGTTTATTAAAAACAAGCTGATTTTTACAAATGATCGATATTGATTCATGGCAGTTAAACATCACTATTCAAACAGATACAACACTCTTGTTCGAATCTAACATTGTATTATTTATTGGGATTGAAATTGAAATTAATGTAGTTATTTGGGCTTGGAATCTCTTGGTCACTTTATCTCCCTCTTATTTGTGCAATAGCTGCTGCAAGTCTTGTCTCGGAGCTTTCCTTTACCCTGCCAGCTTCGGTATGCCTTTACTTTTTCTTTTTGAATATTCTTTTTCCTACTCCTCCAAGTATTTTCAAAAATCCTATTAATCCCTTTCTTCGCTTTGAAGGGCGTGCTGTTTTCTTTGTTTGACCCAAACCGCCCTTGTGTTTCTTCGATTTGGGTTTCTTTTGTTTAGCCTTCTCAATGGCTTCTTTAAGTCTGTCCCGCTCCTGTGACAGATCTTTTACTTTTTGCATATTTTGTTTTAGCTCTGGGCTTATCTGATATAGCGAACTCAAACTGTCCGATAATTGATTTGAACTACTTGGTTGTTGATCTGAACCACTTGGTTGTTGATCTGAACCACTTGTATGTTTACCCAAGCCGCCCTTGTGTTTCTTCGATTTGGGTTTCTTTTGTTTAGCCCTATCCAGAGCGTCTTTTAGTGCGTCCCGCTGCCGTGCCATATCATCTAATCTCGCCTTTTGTGCTAGTAGATCTGGACTCCACTGATGTTTCTGAATAAAATCATCCCAGTATTTTTCCGGTACGGACCCAGTCTGTCTAAGCTTGGTCACGGCATTTTTTAGTTCGATATTCTCCATTGCCATTTGTGCTAATCTCTCCACTTCTGATCTTAGCTCTGGGCTCAACTGACTTGCTTGATCCAAACCTTCATCCTTTGAGCGTTGATTCAACTCGGTTTCCCTTTGTTTAGCCTTTTCCAGGGCGTCTTTTAGTTTGTCTCGCTCCTCCTCCATGCTTTTTAAAATTGCCTTTTCTTCTGGTGTCATATTTACTGGTGGTATAGGCGAGCGAGCAAACATGTGCACATCTTGTTCTGATGATTCTAATGCACGACGCTGCAAGTTGGATTTATCATCTGAACTATCGGGAGAAACGGCTGCAAGAGCCATGCTAGAAGCACCGAGAATAATACTCCATTGAGCAAGTTTCATTATGCTGTATTGTTTGGAATGTGTTGGTTAGCACCAATGTATCGATCTCAATGCCTGTATAGTTTTCAAAATGAGATTGTTGCGTGTTTTTATACTCGACAAGGAGTAACAGTGGAGTTTGTTGTCAAAGCACTATCTGTATGAATAGGCTATTTTGGTCGTTACACGAAAGTTTTGTGGGTCACAAACTATATGAAAGGTTACAATGAATCTCGCGATTGAATCGGACTTTATCGCCCTATTTGGTTTTATCTCGAGTCTAACAAGTCTACACAGATTTGCATCTGCCTAAAGGGCGGCTACCATCTACTGAGCTCTGTACAATAACGGGCGACCCGCCCGGATACTTGACTAGTATGCTATTATCAGTCAACATATGCTTTTTGTGCCTCGAAACATTGGGGCCCTTGATAGCCAGAGCATCTGGGATAAACTGATTGATTTTGGTGTGATGTTGTCAAGGGATTTTCCTCCCTAAACTCAAGATTGGCTGCTTGCTACTAAACCACATCAGATCACAGGGATTGCTGAAATAACATGGTCAGGATTAGGGTTGAATGAGTATGTCCTGATGTGATCCTATTGGTCATATAGGACATCACTCGAGCTTCGACAAGTAAAGTTGCATCAGATTGAATTGCATATTCGCCATTCATGATTTTATAGTTATACAAAGTCATTGTCTTGCCAATCAGTTTGCTTTGCATGTGCCAAACTTGGTGTGGTAGGTATGCTACTATATAGTACTAGTATCAAAATCAATTGATAAGCATAATGGAGCAGGTTGGTTCAGGAAACGGTGTCTGATGGCTGTAGACTGGCAATGCTATCCAGAATCCATTTTCAACAGACTCCAAAACAATGTTTCGACTTTACAGCATCAATGAAACAGTGGAATGCCAAATGGAGTATCAAATCAAATATCAAATGGAGACCAAAATAGATGAACTAGCCCAGCAATCGGAATGAGATATGATGTAATACATGCAATAAATATACACATGGCTTGTAGCACAGGATCAGTGACTGATATACCGATCATTGCATTCATTTCACATGTATTGAGCAAGTGGGGTAAAACAGATATGAATGGAGTGTATGAATCGTTCAAAACACATTTGGTTTATAAGTGCACCTGCACCTGCAATCGCAATCGCAATCAAGCACTTGGAGTCAAAAGTATCCAAAGCAATATGCTAGATACTGCAGTTCAATTACCAGCAGTGTTCACTTTACAAATCCAACTCTGTAATATATCATCAGACAACAGCCAGTAATATTTGCTACGTCATCAACTCGATACATGTCGAGTATCCTGATTTAATCTTACTGCAGATTTAAACTATTTGGCTGATCAACCGACTCGAATGTTGATGGATTACTATGCCAATCGACTGTTTTGGCCCGATATCACCACACTTGACATGCCAACACATGCGACATATGATGGATGTTGGAATATCCAGACAGATACTTCTAACCAGCAACCTGTGGCAAAACTAGTTCTAATAACATCCACTTTAAATCTTCAAATTAAACCCTTCATCACTAATCCATATGCTCCAAACTCCATTATCCCCATTTTTTGGGATTCGAGTCCCCAGTAACGGGTAAATGGTGTTATTATTAAATTGGCGAATTACAGGAATCGATACTATTGGCTAGTTACTACTGTCTACAACCACTAATTAGCAAACATGCTACTTGTTTGTATCACAAGACACAAACAATTGACTACTATAGAAGCCAAGATATTTTCTTATCAATAAACAACTCTTCAAACTATTTCAACTTTCTAATTACTTTATTACACCTTTTGACTATTCCTGAAAACCCCAAATCTGTTTATTTTGGATTACTGTGCAACTTTCATTACACTTCTGATTTGTTCTTTTTTGATAATTATTAACAGTTACAGATTATATTCTACTTTAGACTTTACTACAAATCATGAAGCTCCTAAAATTCTGACACAAGTGTCGATGTATAATAATATCATGACAACCAAGACTATATGAAATAATCGGATATATTTTATTCAAGTAAAAATAGAATTGAATCGGTTAAAACTACTCTAAATTAACATTCAAATCAATCAGATGAATCGTCACGTCTGGGTTGATTCAAGGATGACTTGGATTTTTTCATAAAATTGGGCAAAGTTATCCGTAAATTAGGCAAGTTTCTCTGTCGACTGGGATAAACTACTCGTATAGTGGGTAAAACTCTCCGTCGACTGGGTGAAGCTGTCTGCATACTGGATGGAGCTGTCTGCATATTGGGTGAAGCTGTCTGCATACTGGGTGAATCTGTCTGCATGCTGGATGAAACACTAGATGATATTTGAGTGGATGAAACGCTAGAGAATGTCTGAGTGGGTTGAGTTATAGACGTTTCCACTAATGACGGCTCGGTAGTATGGGTTTCCAGATCTTTGGGAAAATTTTCAGGGTTCAGCATTACTTCGTCATATGATGGAGGTTCAACCTCAAAGTTTTCCAGGCCTACTTCATATTCTTCAGTATCCCCCATTATATCTTGATATGATGGAAGTGAATTTTGAATTTCTTGTTGTGGTGGACTCGGGGTTTCATCGGCAGATCTTTCCTCGGATGCCGCTGGCCGTCTCAGCACCCTATTGCGGAGTCGGCGCTTGATCTCTAAACTATAGACTTTCGTTCCAAAGCGTAAACACAACCTAACTGATGAAGCGTATTCATATCTTTGAAGTAAGGATTGTGCGGCTTTTCTTTGTATCCGATTTAGATCAAACAATGCTGTATCATATTCGGACTTGAGCACATCATCTTGTTTTTCAAGATTAAAAAGTTCAAGAGATTGGGCTTTGAGTTCAAGTTTAGCTCTCTCGACTTTATCTTTATACTGTGAAGTATGGCTTTTTTCTTGAGATTTATGGATCAGTTGCTGATACTGTTTATCTAGCTCGGCTATACGTTCTTTTTGAGCAGCAATCTGATTCTTTACCGATTCAGGTGCTTTTGGAAGGTTTATTACTTTACTAAGGTAGTCTTTGACGAGATCTTGATCCTCGACTGGAAATGTGCTTAGCTCAATTTGACTTTGATCATCTTCACTAGAAACTTCTAGAAATATAGCTGCGCTGGAAAGATCTGCCAAAAGAATAGATTCGGTACTTAAACTTGCACTTGCACTGGGATTGACTGGGCTAGCCGTAGTAACTGAGCAAGCAAGCAGTATTGATGCCAATATTGTGAGTTTCATTGTACTGGTTTGGTTGAGCAAGTTGTAATAAATGTCATTCAACACGTCGGTTTTGGGTCGTATTTATATCCATTATCGATCGGATAATATGAAAAGCATACTCACCGGGTATCCGTCTTAAAGGGCTGGTGCTACTAGGGCTACTATCAGTTTATTGTTATCAATGCCGAAGTAACCCGAAAAGGATATTCCTTTATGGTAGCTTGTAACCTTGATTAAGCCGCTACTCAACTACACATTCAAATATCACATGGCTGATTGTGTATCCCACCCTTATCCATCTTAAAAAGGGCCAGTGTGCCACAATATGAACAAATAAGCACATGGCAAGTAAAACTATATGCAACTGATCTAACATCCAGTTGTTGGATGGTCATCAATATATGCTGTGGTTGACATGATTCAAACATGTCGTGGTTTAATGATATTTTGCATTCAACTCGACACGATTCATCAACTTGGATATTCATATAATATTGGGTTTATATCATCACGTTGTACTCGTTATCAATCACCTTGATGTGTCCATGCAACCCAAACTCGATATACACACATTAGTTACTGTTTGACATGAATGGGTCGATCATCAATACCAGACAATGCAACTGTATTAGTTGTATGATACAATCAATCATGGTTGATTCATCACCATCAAATATCAAATGTTGATCACGTATACATTGATTTGTAATTGCATGGTCCGTTGATAATACACACTATGATATGATTGGCAAGTTGTTGATTTGCAGTAATCAGATGTGCATCACCTGTAACATTGGATACAATTGGCGAGTTGTAACCACAAGTCAACAATCATCGATATGTTGGTGATTGTATTGACTACATGATTGGTATTGGTTAGCTGTCATGATCGATTGGTGAGCAATACAATCCACATTGATTATGACGTGTTGCAACTGGTTGATATATGCAGACTCGACTGATGATCGAGTATATGTTGATGAGTAACTCTGTCACTGTTTAGTTTGATTGGTCATTGCTACTGCTTGTATATGCAGTGTATTCATGTGTGATGTATTGGATATCGGTGTTGTGTATGTTGAACCTGTCGGACAATATATTGTCATGTTGTATCAAATCGCACTACATTTAGACTGCAATCATTGATTCGTTGGTTTAATGATCGACTCGACTCACATTTGACTGTAATGACCACAAATATGCATTGCTGATTGACACGCATATATCGACATGTATCAGACTCGGACATGGTGTATATCAATTGCATATACCAATCACTGATGCAAT